ATGCAGGGCTCAATCCCAGGACCCTGAGATCATGACCTGAGCCGAAGGCAGATGCTTAACTGACTGAGCCCCGGGCTTTCCAGTTCTTATCTTACATTAGCTCTCTGTAGCATTTAACACTACTGACCATGCTGGACAGGAAACTTAGATAAGTTCAGTGAGCAAGTGTATGATTATAGGGTGGGGACTGGGTGAACCCAAGAGCTGATTTTTGCTGTGTGAGAATGTGAACTGAGATCTTCCTGGCTTTCAAAAGATACTGGAGCTATGGATGTTAACTAGCTACAGAAGCCCAGAAAACATCTATCCCTTGTGACTTCCTGTATGATGGAAACTTTGCCTCTTTCTTCCATAATGAATTCTGGTATCTTAAGGAATCTGTTGTGGCTTCAGCCACAACTGGACTACAGTATCTTCCCTTCTTCACCTGCTTCTGCTGGAATCGTGGGAGCAGTTTTCTGAGTTGGAGACCAGATGCCTCTTCTTGTAGAAATGACGATGGGCTGAGTTACAGTTGGACTAGAACTCTTAGTGCAGTGCAATCCTTCAGATACAATATGGGTTAAAGAGGCACACAGCTCTGCTTTTGCCCGGGAATCTAAACAACATTTCATGACATTGCTTCTAAAGGAAAATGCAGTGTGAGTTCCAAATAAGTGACTTATAAACAAACACATCTAATGCCTGTGTTGGGGACTGCCTGTTCTGCGAGCTAAGAATTTTGTTGTTTTTAAAAAGTGGCTTTCCCCTTGTTTCCTTAGGTCAGTCATACTTTTCAAAATCATACGTCATGTGTTTTACATCAATTAAAATAATTTTCTCTGATATTATACTAGAACATCTGTTCATTCATCCATCAATATGCCCTCTACTTCTTTGAATGGTATGCTCATTTTTGAGGTGCTATTGAAACAGCATTTATTAAAGCATTTCTACTTTTGAACTTTTCTTCTCCTACCTGCTAAGGACTTTTCATCTGCATTGATTGTACATTGTTTTAATGGACGAAAGCAAAATGGAAAGTTCTAGTGCTTGCTTTGGCAGCACATATACTAAAATTGGAATGATACAGAGAAGATTAGCATGGCCCTTGCCCAAGGATAGCACATGAATTTGTGAAGCATTCCATATTTTTCAGATGTGTAAATAGAACTTTTGTAAGTCAAAAAAAAAAAAAAAAAGGAAAGAAAAGAAAGTTTCATTGGTCTATAAGCTTCTCTACTAGATGGTAAGGTCTTCCAGGGCAGGACTAAGTCTAGTCATCTTTGTACCCCCTTTGCTGAAGAAATCTTTCTCACACTGAACTGAAACACTGTAGTTCTGACCCATTTGGAAATACGTTAGCATGGCACTTGACAATGAAGAACTTACCTGATTGTAGTTGTCTTTCTTGGCCGCTGAGATTAATCAAGTTCAAATCTAGATTATGTGATTATTGTTTTCAGGAATAAAGAAATTATTTTAGATCTTGTGGTAGACACTGGCTGGCTCATCACACCCACTTCCTCTTCTAGGTGTGAGTGCGTTTCCCAAGATCCTTTGTAGTGAGAGGTGGTCCAAGTTCTAGGCAATGAAAGGTGAAAGAAAGTGAGTGCACCACTGCCAGGGCTTGGCTCCCAGACACTTCTCATGGATGACTTCCCATGCTCTTTTTTCTATTTATTGGGTGAGTGTGGAGGACTCTGAGGCCTAGGAGGAATATAGAGTACCTAAGATGGAAGTAGCCTGAGTCCTTGAGTGACCATGTGGAAACCCACTCAGGAACACACATTTTGGACTTCCTATGAATAAGAAATAAATTTCTACTGTATTCAATCACTGAGATTATGGGGTTTCTCTCTTTTAGCAGCTAACCCCACCCTAATACAATTTTCCTTAAACATATTTGAGAACTGTTTTGTCCTTTGTATATGTAGATGATGACTATATTCTGACAACAGTTCTCTGACACCACTGGGTGTTCTTCAATTCAATTCAATTCAATTCAATTCAATTCAATTCAATTCAAATGCTGACACTAAGTAGAGTTAGCCCAGATCCTACAGGTTAAGGGGCTCAGTCCTATAAGGCTTCTCCCACTTCAGATGCCAACCACAAGTCCTGGATGTTCCCAAGCCACCTGCACTTCTGCCTGGCCCGCTACAAATCTGGGAGTTCCCATGACCACTCCTCCCTTCAGGTTCAATAATTCACTAGAATGACTCACAGAACTCATGGAAAGTGCTACACTTGTGATTACAGTTTTATTGTAGAGGATACAACTCAGGAACAGCCAAACGAAAGGAGATGAATTGGACAAGTCTGGGGGGCCAGTGGCATAGAGCTTCTATACGCTTTCCTTGTGGAATCAGGGCACACTACCTTCCAGGAGCATCCATGTGTTCACCATTTAATTATGTAACATGATGGATTAAATTGTTGGTCACATGACTGAACCCAATCTCCAGCTTCCCTCCCCTCCTTAGAGGTGGGGTGGGGATGGGGCTGAAAGTTCCAATCCTCTAATCATATGCTTGGTCTTTCTGGTCACCAATCCCATCCTGAAGTTATGTAGAGACCCACCGTGAGTCACTTCATTAACATGAACTCAGGTATGAATGAGAGAGGCACCTTAGGTATAGCAAAAGACACTCTTATCAGGAAATTCTAAGGATTTTTGAACCTCTAGGTCGGGAATGGGGGACAAAGACTAGATATACTCTTTATTATACCACAGTGGTAAATGACAAAGGTCAAAAGACTGCCTGTTCTGCGAGCTAAGAATTTTGTTGTTTTTAAAAAGTGGCTTTCCCCAAAAAAATATATATATATAATTGTTGAGATTAAAAAACTCAGTGGCAGATTAAACAGTGTATTAGACAAAGATGGAAAACAGTAAAGAGAAACAGAGTGCTGCAGGGTATATACACATGTGAAAAAAGCCCCCAAACCTCCACATATTGATCTACAGAAGAATGGATTAAAAGATGTTATGTGTATAAAATGGAATATTATACAGCAGTGAAAATGAATGGACTGTATCTCCAAGCAACAATGCGTATTATTCTTGGAAGCATAATCTTAAGTGAAAAAATCAACTTTCAAGGCTTGCATGTGGGTAAACAGTTTTGAGTTTTTTAATACTCAAAATAAGGAAACTTAATGCCATAGTGTTTAGGTGCATACATATTATTGATAAAACTATAAAAGAGGACTAGGATGGTGAACCAAATGTAGGATAGTAAATACTTCTGGTAGGGAGGTAGGAGGATTAGTTAGGAAAGAATGCATAAGTAGATAGAAATTGTTTACAATCTTACAGTGCTTAGGTAGTGATTTCATTGATTTTTATTATATTCCTATGCTTTATAATTTATTTAGATGTTTTATTTTTCCTTGCCCATGCATAAAATGTACACAAATACAAAAGGAACCAAAATACTTAAAATTAACCATTTACAAAATGGGAGTCATTTTTGTCCAAGCAGGCTTTTTCATTTGACCATAATTTTCATCTAGATTCCTCAAGTAATCCACCCTCTCCTAAATTCTTTATTCATCATAGTTTCTGTGTCATTCTCATTTTTTTTTCTGGGAAAAATCCCAAAGAAACCTTTGATCATTTTTGCTTAGCAGTTTCTCCTCCAAAAAAATGTTAGTCACATGAAACTGCCAAAAGATTTTTTTTTTTTTTTTTGTGAGAGAGAGAATGAGAGACAGAGAGCATGAGAGGGGAAGGGTCAGGGGGAGAAGCAGACCCCCCGCTGAGCAGGGA